CCTCTACTACAGAGAACGAGGCCGAAATCCTACGCCGCAACTGTGTTGCAACGAAGCTGCTATCAGTCTATGCAAAGTGGAAGGGGGCAAACTATCTCAAAGCCACCTTGCAAAAGGTGCTTGAGAAATTAATGCTCACTTCACAGGATCTTGATCTCGAGCTTGATCCGTCGAGGCTTGCGTCTCAGGAAGAATTAGAGAGGCACGCTAAGCAATTGCGAATAGTTGCGAAAGTCTTTATAGATGACATTTGCAGCTCCTCGGTGAACATACCCCCGTCATTCAGGAAGATCTGCAGCATTGTAAGTCGCGTCCCTCTGTATTCCTCACAGTTGCTATAATTAACACTTATGAGATCTCCGCTGCCGTCATGCCGAGATTCCCCGAAGCGAGGTACACTGCTGTTGGCGCCTTCATATTCCTTCGCTTCTTCTGTCCAGCCATTGTCTCACCGGAATCGGAGAAGCTCGTGACTGAGTCTCCTTCTAAAGAATTGCGGCGAGGTTTGCTCTTGATCGCCAAGATCATTCAAAATCTCGCAAACAACGTTCTTTTCGGAGCTAAAGAGCCATACATGTCCCCGCTTAACGACTTTTTGAGCCAAAATATTTATAATGTGACCACGTTCCTCAGGGAGATTTCGGTAAGAATGATAGTCCTACTTACTTTAACCCCCCGCTGAATTCCTCATAGGTGCCTCCCGACAATCTCGACTTATCTCGCCCCGAAATCGAATCATTTGACTTCGGATCTTGTGTTGTCCTTCACCGTTTCTTGTATGAGCAATGGGACAACGTGAGACGACGTCTAATACAAGAAAGAAAAGAGCAGATACGAACCCCTAATGAGCTCACTCGCAGCCGCCCGCCAGTTCACGAACCGCTTCGAATTCTCATCAATACCCTAGGCCCACCCTCTTTAGCAATTACCTGGAACCGCCCACAGGTTTCTGCGAACTTATTCACCACCTACTCCAGGTTCCAGCACTTCATGCTTCGTAACGCGTTTCGTGACTCCAGCTCCTATATGGGAAATCGTATCATCTATGACGGCGGCGAGACCAAGGTTTGCATAGCTTCCCCCAGGCTCTCTTTGGAACAAGCGCTCACCGAAAGCAGGATGGCCTTGCGTTGATTTGCATAGTCCTTCGTAACGTAGACCAGGATACCGTCGACGCTGATACTTTATTATTTGCCTTCTTCAAGGTATGTTATTAGCTCTCGGAGTCCCTTTGTCCTCAGCTATGATCCGTATAGAAACGTACTGAACGACTTGCTAACATGGAATCGTCTCAAGCTTGCGAGTCGACTATGGCACAAACCATACGGTATTCTTGTTGACTCAACATGCGACAACCTGACTACGGAATATCAGGATGAGCTGATGAGAAAGTTTGAACTTCTCGTTCCTTCGGAAGCAATGGCTTCACAAACTAGGCTGTACATCTACAATATGAACAGCATGTATAGGTATGGTTGCAAGCACGTCATTTACATCAATTGCTCATAGTTAAACGTAGGAAAACTTTGCGGCGAAATCTGCGTATGTTTAAGGACGTGTTCGAAAAGTCGAATACTGAAATACATCTTATTGCGACTACCCAAGATCTTCACAACCATTTCAACGATTCTGAGATCCCATTACCCAAAGAGACTCTCGATATAGCCGCGGATGCGCGATACACTTTCCAATCCGTCACTCGCCTCTCAAAGACAAAGGGGAAGATCGAGGTGACTATCAAGGTTGGCAATCAGTATGTCCAAGTCACAACTCTGAGAAAGCATGAAGTCCATCCTGGCCATGGCCTCAGTACAATCCTCAATGACATTTTCCGCCTTGGCGACATTGACGAAGCACCGACGTCGATTTCGACTGAAGATTCGGCTTTTGGGCTACGGGCAGACAACGGCAAAATTGTCATGTACTTCCTAAGTCCTAGGAAGGATGAGATTCTCCAGGCCATTCGGAGCGCCAAAGCAAAGTACGCGAAGGATACTAGAATTATGAAGCCAGGCGAACGATTCATCCGTCCTCAGGATATTCCCGGAACGCTCTTGAATCTGGCCTTAATAAACCTTGCGGCATCTGACCAGGCTCTGAGGGTTGCATCTTACAATCTCCTAGGCGCGCTTTGTCAAGCCTTCAAGTTCCAAGCAGCATCAAAGTTTGTGTGCATCAACGGTGAGAGAATCGTGACCAACTGTCATATACGTAAGCAACTAACAGAGTCTCAGATGTACACATTCCCTTGGCCGCGAATCAATTTATTGTGGATATAAGCACTACTTTAGCCCATGAAGAGCCTCAGCTTACAGCCGACTTCTTGAACGAGTTCTTCGTGGGTTGGGACAACTTCACTTGTGAGCAGAAACCGCTGAGCCTTGCATACATGGCACCGTGGTTACAGAGCCTGCGGACAGCGTTCCTTGGTGACGAAAGCGACTGCGATGTTGGCAAAGAGAGGATAGCCAACATCTTCCAGAAGCTCATAGATGCAACCTCGTCAGACTCATATCTTTTCCTTGCACTTGAGAGGCTGGTGTGGCCTGCGATCTATAAAGATGAGATTCTCCTAGACATCTTTGTCGAGGTGATCATGAAGTCAGCGCTCGCAGTCGGTCCAAATGATGAGCACATAAAGGTTTTAACCGCGATCGTGCTAGCAATGGGTACGATAACACTCCGGGGCAGAATTATCTCTCGACTGCGGAAAGCCTTGAATCGATCAGTGGTTCGGCCCACCCGATACCTCTATGAAAACGTGGTCTGGGACGAAATCGTTATTCTGCTTCACTTCTGTCTCGCACTGTCATTCGACTGTGGTGTTCAGGCCCAGCTCTACATGCCCGAAATATTCCACATCGTCACCATGCTGGCGAATTCTGGCACGGCCGATGTCCGCTCGAGTGTGCAACGGCTCCTGATTAATTCTCTCCATGCAGCATGCACCTCTTTCCGTCTAGATGAGCAGAAATCATCCAAGCTATGCGCAATTCTCGATAAAGTTTCGGACCCCAAAAATGACGCATTGTTCGTTCCCGCAGGCTCGGTACGAGAGGGAATGCCCGTGAACGCGGTGCACGACGGCAGTCAAGGACTTGCCGCCACAGAACAGCTTTCTATTTTGCTTTTTGATACGTGTACCGTCGCCGCGCCTTCTGTCGACTTAGCAAATGCATGGCGATCTAGGTGGATGAGTCTAGTTGCCAGCACCGCTTTCCAGAACAACCCAGCAATTCAGCCACGAGCCTTTACAGTGATGGGTTGCTTGGCACGAGAGGAGATCGATGACGACTTACTCTACCAAGTTCTCGTGGCACTCCGTCACAGCATTACTCGGTTCGCAGAAAATGGATCTACCGACATGCTTGTTTCGGTCGTGTCGTCTCTGTCAAAGATGATCGTCAAGCTTACCTCGGCGTCCCGCTACGCACTGCAACTTTTCTGGCTCGCAGTATCGCTAATCCGTCTCATGCCGACCCCCCGTCTCTTCAACTGCGCGACGCATTTACTGGAAGCCGTGTTGACGAACATTGGTATTTCCAACGAGCTGAGAAGCGAGAAAACCGCGGCATTCCTCCTACAGGGTCGCAGCACGTTAGAAAAGGCCACCCTCCCGCTAGACGACGTGTACGGCGTTCACTTCACACCCGATAACTTCCACTTCGCGGTCTGCGCCTGCTTGGTTCGCGGCCTCACAGACCCTGTCACGAAGCCGACGACGCTGCGTGTTGTGTCGACGTTCCTAGAGCTGACGACGGGTTACTTGTCAGCTAGCGCGGTCAAGGCATCGCCAGACGTCTTCTACCAGTCCCCGTACATGACCTTAATACAATCCAGGCTGGTTGACCCAGAACAAGTCGAAGAGTGTCTCTGGTCGGCCAACGTCGACCCGGCCATCTTGGCTAATCTGTCACTAGATCGCGACGTGCATCATCTGGAAAATATCTCGGATAGGGACCTCCTCCTTCACATCGCCATTCAGCTCGTTGATTTCCCCGGTTTGGAGCCCGATCTCCAAACAAATAACTTGACGTGGCTGAATGATCTGGCGTTAGCGCGGCCAGCGGCCATGGTTAACTTGTGAGTATCAACCCGCGCCGGGAGCTCTTGTTGAATATTCGAATGTACCGTAACTAACAGATTTAATGTCCAGATACCCATCCATCTCGTCCCTCCTCAACCGAATCCTTGTCCATGCGCAGAAGCCGGAGACGCTGAAGGCGGCCCACAATTTACTCCAGATCATGACGGTGAATTCGACCGTGGCGATCAGCAGAGAGCGCCAGAGCGTGCTCGTCGATATGCTGCAGGACATGGGGTTCGAGGGATTATGGCGCACGAGCTCGTTCCTGCAGGCGCCGGACTTCGATAAGCAGCTCATTGGCCTGACGGGAAAACTGATTGAAGTGAGTTCTTTTCTTTTCTCCTACTCTGCCACTTTTGGGGGGGGATTTGGTTGCTAACTATGTGCGCAGCTCATCATCATATAACGTAACGAAGGAGATGTTGGCATATACGGATGAATGAAAGGTGGGAGATCTATCACGATCTCTGTTATTGAGGCATATATTATTACACTCTACAGTACGATACAATATTTATCTTGCATGGCGAGCAAGTTTTTGTTATGAATGTTTGTCTGTTTTGATTAGTTTTTCTCGCACATGAGCAAACGCTATCTATCTATCTGTTTGTTTTGTCTTGTTTTGTTGGATATTCGAGTCTTTTATCTACCCAGGTGGATAACTTGACTCCACTGTGCCGTGATGTGAAATTGAAGTGTGTATGTGAGGGCCGGGACGTTTTGTAAAACTGTGAACTGATTAATGCCCGCGAGCTCTAGACACCATGAAACTAACACAGCGCAACTCGCCCGATCACATCAACATTGACGATCAACGTCTGGCCTTCAAAAAAGAAAAGGTGGATCGATCCGCATGCACATCCGATCCACACACCGTCTAACACAGCCGATAGCACACCGAGCCATCACGGAAGCGGGGATAGCTCAGTTGGGAGAGCGTCAGACTGAAGTCCTAACTTCATTCTTCATATAATCTGAAGGTCGTGTGTTCGATCCACACTCACCGCAATGTTCTTTTCTTTTTCATCTTTTTTCTCTTGTCTTTTATTTTATTTTATGCCTTTTTTTGGGAGGGCTTGGCTCCTTGGTGAGTCAGCTGGCTGGCTGGCTGTTTGGTTCTATGTATGCGTCGGTGGCTTTTGTGGTGATTGTGTGTGAGGGTGAGGGTTTAAGCTTTCTTTTCGTGAGACCATGGGGGCCGGCGTGTGCGAATTCATCCCTATATCTACTAAGTATGTATCATGATCATCACCATTAAGCCTCGAACGCCACGTAGAACGACGTGATCTGATACTATGGCGCGAAGGATTCAAACAAGGCTGCAGAGCTGAAGAGAGTTGACTTAGACAACACACGCACCCGTAAAAGTCACGGACGGTTCAAATCCCAGGGATCAATCACCAAGACAGGGGGAGAACAGAGCTCTATACTAATCTGACTATCGGGCTCGGAAATTGGAATACCTAGTAGCCACCCTGAACATTCTTCCTCCTCTTGATCAAAACATCGTAATCCTGCCCTTCCTTCACCGAAATGATTCCCAGCACCGGCCTACCCACATCCGCCTCAGGCAGCGGCACATCCCCGACCGTCTCGATGTCGAAACGACGAAGCAGCGTCGCCACGAACGCCGTGACAAAGTTCTTGGCCAGGAACCGGCCGCTGCACTTCGTCTTGCCGCCGCCAAAGGGCCGCCAGGACTGGCTGTTGGGCAGCTTGCGCCCGGCCTCCGTGTCGAGCCATCGCTCGGGCTTCCAGGCGCCGCAGTCGGCGCCGAAAATCTCCTCGTCCAAGTGGAGCAGGCGATGCGGCACCATGACGCGGTTGCCCTTGCGCAGGCGCTTGCCGCCCAGCATGGTGTCGCGCGTGACGCGGCGCACGGAGGATGCCCAGCCCGCGAGACGCAGCGTCTCGTTCCACATCGCGTCGACCCGGGGGCATTTTACGGGGTCCTGGATGTGGTTTACGTCGACGAGCTCGTCGCCGTTGAATGCGGGTGCTGTTTCCTCTCGGAAGGCGGCGAGGTAGGAGGGTTGGCGCATCATGTGTGTTAGCATCCAGAATGACGTCTTACGGGCGTTGGTATTGATGCTTTGGCCCGCGAACCCGTTAGCGAGATGAACACGGAGTACAGAAAAAAGAAAAGGGGGGGAGGGGGAGGGGCAAACGCACGCAAAGTACAAGTGGAAGATCATGATGGCGATATTCCTATCATCCATGCCAGCGCCCCTCATCTCGTCCTCCATTGCATTGACGATCCAGGCTGCATCGTCGGCTCTCTCCGCCTTCGGCACCTGGAAGTACGCCGTCAACGCCCTGATCATCTCGTCGCGAGGCGCTGTCAGATCACGGCAGAGGAGAGCGGGGTACTGGTACAGCACCTTCCAGATGACCTCGTCAAAGACGATGAATGCCGTCGGGTAGTTCGGATTGACACGGTCCAACGCGTCGCCGAAGTAGGCGTGCTGACCCAGTCGCACGAAGTAGTCGGACGTCCATTTGTACAGCGGGACCTGGATGTGCGTCTTGCTCCGCGAAGTCGCATACGCGCACTCCGCGTCCAGCGCTTCGAGCCTCAGGTGGTCATTGATCCAGTCGCGCCCTTTCTCCTGGAGCACGAGCATGTTTGCGCCCGGGTGGAGCTGCTGCATGTGCATCTTGGCCAGGAGCGCGCCCAGCGAGACGCCGTCGGGATTAGGAAAGCCGGGCTTCTCCTTCGGCAGCGGCGAGAACACGGTCTTAATGGTCTTCTCGTCGCTGCCGTTCTTTCGCATCAGCGCCTGCACGAACTCGTCGAAGGACAGCGCCTCCATGTCCCTGTACAGCTCGGCTGAATGCTTCGCGTGCGTCAGGACATAAAAGGTGCGTCCGAAGGCAGTCAGTGCGAATGGCGCATTATCGCGACCGACGCGGGACCTGTGAAAATGGTTCTCTTGTTAAGCAACTCTGCCGTCCAAAGTCGTGGCTTCGCTTATGTACCTACCTAGCGCGTGCGAGCAACTTGTTCGAGTCGCGGAAGAAGGCCACGCCGTGTCCTGGATGTTATCGCGTGTTAGATTTCATCCCGTTTCGCGAATGGCCCATTGGACGTACCGAGGACTGGAAACTGTCTTAGTGAACGTGCTCTCTCAACTGATTCTTAGATACCCTTACCTGGAATCATGTAAGGTAGCTCTTTGGGCTCATCTGGATGAAGCTTGGGATAGATGGTGAACCTCCAGTATCGCCAGCACACCCAGAAGATGAGGAAAGGCGTTACGGCGTATGTCAGAGCCATGGGCAGACCCGCTCGGCCCCAATCGAGCGGGAGGTCGTAAAGTTGTGAGGCAGTCATTATGCTAATGATGGAAGTTGTGTGGCTTCGTCGATTCAGAATACGGATGATGGCTAGGAGGGCATAGATCACAGCGCACCTGCAAAGAAGAGCTACATCACTTGGTGAGGAGGCGCTGACTATCTATGCTATGAAGCTTCCGTCTCGCCTCAAGGCTTTCATCCACATTCATGAGTGAGTGATCTTTTGATATAACCACCGCTGGTGTGTATCGACCGAAACAGATTCACGCCTAGGGGTTCACTTCTGAAGGGACAGGACTTGCTGCCTGTCAGCCAGCCTATCAATCAATCATTAATTCGGCGTATTATGCTGATCGCGCCTCTCTTTTATCTAGCATTAACTTATCTGCCGGATATGCATGGTTCTTGCAAAAATTCATGCAACTCTATTCATCCCTGAACGCGGGTGGATTACATACATGTCTAGCCATGCTATCGTAGCATTGACTGGGTAGTGAAGCAGGCTCTACGGAATAACGTCCCCAAAACGATGCCTGCATGCGATCGCAACAGTACTAGGCTCCAAGTGGCGGAGATATGAGCCTGGGGTGGGCAGCGTAGCGCTTGCTGTCCGTGATTATTCAGGGTATTCCTTAGGAGACGTTACTTGCATGTATTGCGCTCCTTACCGCTCGTTGAGTTGCTAGATGGTGAGGTCCAGCCTTATATCGCAGTAGGTACATCTGGAGGCATGCAGGTTGAGAATTACGGAGTGAGTTGAATATGGAACGACTTAACGAGGGAGAAAACTAATTACACCCATGACGATACTTTCTTACGTCCCGTCTCACACTTGCGGCTGGGTTACAGCAAATGATACAAACCGAAGTAGAATCGCGGCCTTCCATCAATATACTAGATTCAAGACACAGTAACAGAATCCGAGAAAAGGAGAGATGGCCTCACGCACTGAGCATCAAGCCCAATCAGCAAGAACTGTTTCCCCATCCTTCAACTGCGCATACCTCACGCTTGCCTTCCACACAGCAGCTCTCTTCTCGTCATCCTGGGCCTCTACGCTCACTGCCTTGGGCTCAGAACCGTTGAGATACAAAGCCTTTGGCGCAGTGCCAATGGGCGGGTCTACAGAAATGGCGGCTGCAAGCACGTCAGCTGAGGACTTCCGTGCTGTGCGCATGAGGCCATTTGGATTCTTCCAGGCCATGACGTGCATGACGAAAGTCATGATGGTCCTGAGGAGCCACCCGTGTTCACCAGTTGTGATGTTGGTGGGCATGGTGCCGGGATTGACGCCAAGGATGGAGATGTGACTAAGGTCGGGATCTTTGTTGAGCCGGCGTTGAAGCTCGATACTGCAGTCGATACATAATAAAATCAGCATCAGTATACGGAATACATATTCAGTCAGACAACGGAGCGCGCACCGGGTGCAGACCGGGCGCAGATGCAAGTGAGAAAAATGATGGGATGGGGGGACCACGGATGAATTCACTTCACTGATGGGCTTCACTGATGACCCACTAATGATCCGCTGAATTCCCACTGTTTATCCACTGAAAGGGTCCACTAACATCATCATGATCAGGCACAGTTTAGCGGCTCCATAACGTCGGATCCCGCTAAGCCCACGGGGATCTTTAGTGGGGTCTGACGGGCTGGCGCTCCACCTGCCCTCCGCGATGGCTTCGACGGATCCACTGCTGGCATCGGCCAGAATCTGCTTCCATTCATCTTCGAGGAATGCGCGGTTGATGTTGTTGGACGGATCCGTCGGGCTATCATTGCAGAGAAACATCACGCCAACGTCAGCATTGATGCAACAAGAGGTAGGAGAAATTTAGAAAAATGATTGCACTTGCTCGTGAACCACTCCGCCCAAGACCACCACCCGGCCCGCGTCCCTGTCCATGCTTCGAAGGAGGAGGAGCGTCAGCAGCCAATGTCCTAGATAATTGCTCGCAAACGTCGTATCCAAGCCGTCCTCTGTCCACGTCTGACCGTGTGCTTCGCGAGAGCCCGCGTTGAGTATCAGGGCTCGAATTGGAGGGATGGCTCCTGACTGCACCTTGGCGTTGATCTTAGCCGCCGCCTCTCGCACGCTGGCCGGCTTGTTTAAGTCCATGGCTACCATTTCGTGTGCAGGGGGCTGATCCTTGACCTGTGTTCGGTTGCGACCTAGAATAGACTGTAGCGTAGCGGCTGAGCTCACGTCTCGTACCGTGTAGATGCCGTAGCAGTCTGCTAGGTTCGGACTCGTGATGATGTTGTTGGCGAGCTCCGTGCCGAGGCCGCCATTTGCGCCCGTCAAAACGATAGTGCCTTTGGGCTTCGCCATGCCTGCTTCTTCTTATTTGTGCGACTGGGGGGAAGTGTGTTGGGTTGGGTGATCTAGACGGTGATGAAGATTGGAAGTAGAAGACTCATTTATATTCTTAGATGACGCTGCACAGCTGCGCTTGAGGACGATCGCAACCAATAGCGAAGGTAACGACCAAGGTAGGCGAAGAACTGAGATAAAATAGCAGGTAAGTCGATCGAACCCCTATACGTATGCACATTTGTAATAATACTACATATCTATCTGGCGCCTATCTATCTAACGGGTAATTTTCAGGTAAGGGATGAAGTTATACCGCTTGATTCCATTGTCAAGCCCATAATGTGGACGCCCATTTTACATGACGGTTACCAGGCCAATAATACCAGTCTGA